CTGCTTATTCAAGCTTGTGATCATGAGAAATGCATGTCCTTCATGCATAATTCAGTCCTGCATGTAGAAATTGGGCTCCTTTCCCGTGTAGGCTGCTTTGAATTATGCAAGCTTTGAATTAGAGCACAAAAGGGTCCTGATGACGCCATCCAAGAGGGTTATGATGCAATCTGATGCCCTGATTATGTGATCAAGGATGGGCAAGCTTCAGATAAATGTATATAGCTTATTCCTCATCCATTTCACGCTTCTACTAGCTGATTCTTTATACATATGTAATTATTTATGGCTTATAAAATATGTACATAATGTATAAGAATAAACATTGTTTTAATACTTTATTCTAATGATATTTCTGTGAAATCCTAGTGATATTATATGTACAATACTTAAGGGGATTTCACAGTTAATTATAGAATTATTAAATATAAATTATGAATTAAGATTAAATGTAAATGCATATTTATTTATTTATTATTTTAACAACAATGTATAATGTTTTCCAGTATTCAATTAATTATTATTATTGCAGTTACTAGGTACATTTCACGTACTGTGAAATGTGCTCTGTGGCTGACATACTTGGTACCTATTTTTGTGAAAATTGAACAGGTACCTAGGTACCGCTACAGGTACCCCCTCACTTCCCTACCAAAATGATGGTGGCCTTCTACTCCAAGAACTCCAAGAAGGTACCTTGGCTACATGGAAACAGGGACTCAAGGATAACAAGAAGTCTAACCAAAAATTAAAAAGGAAGGTGATAGTTTTGGACAACAATGAAGATTCTTCTAATAATCTAATTAGATATAATTTGTAGACAGTTTAAGCTTTAAAATAAATTATTAAATGTGAACAAATGAAAAAATTGACTTGGGATTGATGTTTTACAATAAATATGAAAAAAGGCAAGATTCTTCCCATTAGATGTAGATACTTGACAACAAATATGAAAAAAATGCCAAAAAAGTGACTTGAGTAATATTTCACAATAAATATGAAAATAATAATAATAATGAAGTAAGGTTCTTCCAATTAGTTTAAGATGTCTTACAACAAATATGACAAAAGGAAAAACAGTGACTTGGGAATGATATTTTCAATAAATATGAAAATATAATAACACAGTAGGATTCTTCCAATTTGTTGTCAACATTTCACAATAAATATGAAATAATGGAAAAAAGTGACTTGGCACTGATATTTTACAATAAATATGAAAAAATAATAATAAAAAAGTGACTTGGTAATCTGAAAGTGAACCTAGGTTAGAAAGAGAGGGGAGGTACCCGCGGTACCTGCCAAAAGTACCGCCAGTACCCGCCGGGAGGTGCGTGGTGCGGTACTTGGTACCTATTTTTTGAAAAAATTCAACAGGTACCCGAGTACGAACGAACGATCTCTAATCAGAATAAACCAACATAAATGAAACTATGTCTTAGGACCAAGAAATAAGAAACAACACTGTCTTCTGAGTAAATGATTTGAAAAAGATAAGTAAGAATAATAAAATGATAAAAAATAAAAACAAAATAAAATCAAGATGAATAAAAAATAACATGAAGAGTAGATAATAAGAGGAAATAAAATAAAATAATAAAATGAGGAAACCATTGGACTGAGTGGGGATTTGAGGTGATAATATTGAAATATTGAGTCTTGAGGATATTGAAAATTTGAAAGTTGAATTCTGAAATTGGACCTTGAGGGGGCCTGTACCGTTTAGAACACCACAGCGCTAACACTACACCAAAAATTGGCGAGTGTTAGCGCTGCTACAAATTAGCGTAGCTCAGCGGCCGTAGCGGCGCGCTAACACTACACCAAAAAAGCAATGGTTGGCGCCGCTATGCTAACACTACATGGGCCCGTAGCGTAGCGGCTCACCGCTGCTGCAACCACACTCTTCCAAGGCTTAGTGGCTCAACATTGTGCCCTTCCAGAATCACTTGATAAGCCTGTCCATACCTGCCTCTGTCTAAATCCTGGATCCAAATCCCTGCGCCACGGAAACTGTGTGCTATTATCATCATATGTTACAATTCTTGGACCCAAAATTGTAACAATATATTGACAGATATTTGCAAGTTTTTTTTTTAATTTTTTTTTTATATCAAAAACATGACAGAATAACCAATCAATTTTGATGAATTACAATATTCTGTTACAAATACAGAGTGTGACAGCAAAAATACACCTGTCTTGGCAGTTATTGAGTTCTTTTTCCAGGCCTGTGTCAACCTTTGTAATCTCAACACACCTCCCTTGTACCAAAAACTGCCCAGATTTCTGGTACTTCACAATATGTTACAGTTACAAGTAGCTGTAATAGC